GAAATTGAACCCTGACCTGTCGGGCTGCTATTTCTTCCCTGAAGGTGGCAAAAAGTTCAACGTACCCCCATGGTTTGGAGGTCGAGCCATTGAAGCCTTGCAGTTTGGATCCCACATATGGACAAAGGTGGGTATCGTCGAGCTGTAAGGTTCGGAACAGATGGTTGTACATAACATCGATGGAACTCCCCTCGTCGACCAAGACGCGGTGAATGTCGAAGTTAGCCATACTTTCCCTCACCAGCAGAGGGATGCTCGAGTTAGGGGGGACCTCTGGGCAACTCTTCGAGGTAGAACGTGATTGGTTCTAATATGCCCTTGACCTTCTCGAATGTCACCGCTTGAGTCAGGATGCGTCGACCAACTCGTCGAGCTTCCTTTTTACAGAGTTTATGGAGATTTCGTTGAACCCCCATCCAGTTATAACCATGGCAGAGGGGAATTTCTCCCACCTGTTGTGCATGGACAAAGGTTCTTCCTCGTATCTGTCGGGGACGTAGAAGTCCTTCATCCTTGTAACAGAGAAAGTTATCTGGATAGGGGTCGTCTCATCCGATTTTCGGGTGTCCTCCTTGACCTTTTTTTTCTCGCGGGTATCCCGATAAGAGGCGTCATTATGTCGATATTTCCCGAGTCTGCCACCCTTGATGAGAGTTTTGATGGTGTCTTTGAGATGGATACAGTCTTCAGTCAGATGCCCGTGGCTCCAGTGGTACTGACAATATTTGCTTCTGTCAGCCTCAGGCTTTGTGGGAGAAGATTGAGGACGTTTGACTCCTCCGTCCTTAAAGTCGGTATTGGAGAACTCTACCAGGATGTGCTCGCGGGAAGCGGTCAGTAGAGTGTATTCGATGAATCTCCATACGGGCCCCCTGTGCTCGCGGGGATCACGGGGCTTGTCGTCCCTTCTCTTCTCGCATGTTTGTTGAGTAGGGTATGCGTCCTAGTGTCGCAGGGTGTTGGTTGGTCCGCTGTTCCTTGGGTCTCGGGCTTTGTTGTTTGCTTCCCTATCCTCATAGTCCATATAGGCCCTATCTTTTTCTAGGAGAAAATCGAATGTTCGGGGTGGTTCGATGCCAATGGCCTTCCTGAACTCAGTGCTCGGGAGGAGTCCTCTCTCAAGCAGATATCGTTTTATGTGATTGATACAGGGGACCTGAATGGCCTCACGGTTGAACCAGACTATAAACTCCTTAAGGGTCTCGTCGCTTCTTTGGACGATAGCTTCGAGAGCAGCCTTAATCTTTGGATGTTGATGAGAGGCTGTGAAAGAGCTGATGAATTGGTTCTTTAGGTTTCTTCAGAAGGTGATCGACCCCGGGGCGAGGTTCTTATACCAGTCCATCACAGTCTTTCTCAATGTCATGGGTAACAATCGGCACTTGATTGGTCCCTCGATGTTATGGTAGTGGAGCATTGCCTCGAACCCGTCGATATGGTCGACGGGGTTCGTAATTCTGTCATATTCATTTAGTTGAGGAGGTTTATCCATCCCTGGGGGAATGGGTGCCTCCATAATTTCCTGGGATAACAGACTGTGGGGGTCACCTTCGTCGCTTCTGTCTGGAGAGCAGGAAGGCGACCTGTTGTAGTGGCGGCCATGGTGGTGGCCCTGGTCGCGGGGAGGATCTCGCGGTCGGGGTCGTGGTTCTTCATTTCCCCTATTTTTGTTTCCAGGGGTCGTCGTTCTTGGCACGGGGGGACATGGTCGCGTCTTCCTGTATCAACAGGTTGATTCCTCTCCAACATGGGGCGTCGTCCAGTTTGTTGGGGAGAGGGGCTTCGTGAGGCATCCTGTCTGCATCTACGATGGAGATTGGGGATGTTCCTCTATCTTTCGGGGAGGGGGAGAATCAGGTCTTCCGTGTCTTCTAGGGACTCGGCGAGAGTCTTCGAGCACCCTTAATCGCTCGCCTTGCGAGAAGATAAAGTAATTTGTCTGGTTAATGGCCGCGAACAAAGCCCTGGTCGTGGCGTCAGCGCTCGCAGGGACTGGGACCTCCTGGAACGCGTTCGGTTGATATTCATGAGTAGGATGATGATCATCTTCGTGTCGTCGAGACAGGGATGATGAAGAGGTGGTCAGTCTGTCTCTATAGTTCAGTGAGGGATCGGGCATTGTTATTATTACCAGCGTTGTGTTCACCGTTTCCATTGTTGTTGGTGTCGGCTTTGTTATCGCTGATGTTGTTGTTGATGTCAGCGAGATGGGCATGTTGATTGTTTTCTGCAGCTGAGTCGGCCATGACAATCAAGAATTTGGAGTTGCTTTTGTCTTAGGTAAATGAAAGACGGGGAAGCTTATTTCCCACAGACGGCGATCAGAGGTTGGAAGGGAGATAGGGGTATCTGCAAGACACTCCGATGTCAAAGTAAGTTTCAGGGAGAGTGCAAGCAAGTGTGAGTATGTAAGTATGAAAGAATGAATACTTGACCCTCTCAAAGAAGAGGGTATTTATAGTCCCCAGCGTTGGGCCAAGGTCTCCAATGTTGGGCCACGATGAGGCCTAATAAAGAAGACTGTTAGGGCTTACGTGTGTATGGAGGCCATCACGTAGCCTCCCCCTGGTTGGCTGCCCCGAGAAAGTATGAGATGGACCCAGTATTCTCAGAGGGCAGGAATATGGTAACGATGAGGACACGTGGGCCACGTTCCCGAACGGATATATGAGAAGTTTCCCAATGGTGCCCAACTTAGGTTGTTTGCTTTTGGGCCTTGTGCAAAGGTGTTGAATTGGGCCTCCCCAACAGTGGGGCCCAGTCCAGATCACCTGATATATACAATACATTAGAAATTATTAACCTCTTGCCATCTTTCCTCATAATCAGAACATCTTCAATACCTTCAGCTACTAGAGTATTTTTATTTGTCAATTTCACCATGTTCTTCATTGAGAATTTTATGTTGACAAACCAATCTTTCCTTCCAGACATGTGTGATGAGCATCCTGAATCCAAGTATTATTGGTCCTTGAATTTCTCTTCATCTCTTGTTGTGACCATCAACATCGTCTATTCTTCTTCATACTTTGCAAACTTAGCATCACTTTCTTGATTCTTTTGCTTTTCGTGGCAATCACTAGAATAGTGACCATAGTTCTGACAATTTTAACACTAAATGTGACTCTTGTCAGGTTTTCAACCACCACTTATTCCTCTACCTCCTGCATTACCTCTTTGGTTGTCGTGGTATGGGGGTCTTCTTTAATTCGACACAATTCCTTTCTACTGGTCTCATCTACGAGTCAAATTGTTGTAGCCTCCTCTACCTTTGTTATCAAACCACTTTCCTTTGCCTTTTTTGTCTCTTGTTGACTACGCCTGTAAAGCCACACCACTCTTCGACTTTCCTGCAACTCTTTCAGCCATTCTTTGTTCATGAGATTCAAGCGTCCCTTGAAGCTCTTTCTTCAACAAAGTTGATATGTTCTTCAACTCTTCTATGGTAACTACCACATGGTCGAACTTCAGAGCCAAACATCTCAAGATCTTTGAAACAATTGCTCTTGTTGTTACGTCTATCTATAAACCTTGATTTGATTCACTAGTTTCGTAACCCTACTGAAGAAATCAGATATGCTCCCGCTATCTTCCATCTGAAGCAATTTATACGTTCTTTTGTGAGTTTGTAACTTCACCTCTTTCACCTTCTCAGCGCCTCCAAACTATTTCTTCAGAACTTCCCAAGCTTCTTTTACAGATTTTATATCACTAATATTTTAGAAATTGTCTGGACTCAGACATTGATGAATTATAAATAGAGCTTTATAGTTCTTTTTCTTTGATTCTTTGCATTCCGCCTCTTCTTCTTTGAAGCGTCTTCTTCAAGCGGTTATGATCTATGTTTCATAAGATCCTGAAGATCTTGACAACAAAACACGACCTTCATATGCTTGCACTAATTTTCATAGTTAGCAACTTTAAGAATTGGAAGACTTGCTGGAAAATGTCTGTTCGGGTGATTCATTGACATCGTTCTTATTTGTCTTGAATCGCTCAACCGAAACTCTTGATATCAGATGTTGGAAATCCACCCAAATCTATGGAGAATTTCTATCAATCTTGATGAACAAGATTATTATTACCACACAATGACAATGAAAAGAAAAGAAAATTAAAGAAAAGAGATTAGGATTTTTGCAGAGTAACTTTCTGTCAAAAACTGTGGAAACTTTTTATTTACTTTGCAACTGTAAAATTCTGTGAATATAAGTTGTTATCAATAATAGGGGTTACTCCCTCTGTTTATAATTTTAGGTAAGTTTTCTCCCTAAGCCAAAACTCAAAACACAAAAGTCCATAATACTTATTTTGGATATAAATTGAAATCTGTGTATAGCAATCTGTTTACAACACTTCGACAATTATATGCAATTTGACATACAAGATTTTTGACACACCTTTTATTAAACAACAACTCACTTCGACACAAAGAATTAGGAATATGATTATCTTGGATAGTATTTATTGTATTATTTTTTCTAGAAATACTCTTATCGACATACCTACCATAGAATGAGTTTTTTTAGCTATATATGGGTAAAATACACTAAAAGTTAAAAACGTCCTCTTTCTTTTATTTGAGTGAAATATACTTCTTTTGAAACTAATTTCTTCCTACGTGATACTTGTGAAAATGAAAGAGTACTAGGAACTTTTTTTTTTGTCCTAGAGTTAGTTACAAACTTTTTACATAATAATTGATCAATTTTAAGGCTAAAAGTTAAACTTTTCTTAATAGTTGATCAATGATAAGGCTGTTAAACTTTTCTTGGTCCCAAAATATAGTGACCAAATGTAATTGGATATATTTGAATAAGGGCGAGAAAATGAGTAAGGAGTATTTGGGTATGAAATTATTTATAAATAATGAGAGAAAAAAATGATTTCATTAAGTTTCTGAATATTTGATTCCAAGAAAAGGTTAACTAAAGTTACTCTAGTTAATAACAAAAAAAAAAAACACCTAGATACATCGTTAATGATAGTAAACTAAAAATCTATGGTCTAACAGTGAGAGCTGTAGGAAAGGATTCCAGCACTGGAATAGACATAGATCGTAGCTTGCAATCAGAAGAAATAACTTGAGCATTTTCCTCTACGATAACTTTGCTAATCAAAGTCATCAAAACTTGTTCCAACTCTTGTCCGTCACACCAACCATGAATTTCAGCCTTAACAAGTGAAGGATCCTTGCATATCAAATCCCAAACTGGGAAATTCTTTCTTGGCATGACAAAATCTTTTTCTCCAAATCTCAAGCTTGGACAGTAATCACCAGCACCATCACCAAGGTAGATGAATCTCTTGTTATCAACTTCGTTAATTGTGTTTTGAATTCTATCAATGATTAAACCCTTGCACATGTTTGGAGGGCAGGGATTAGTACAACCATGTGAATTTTTGTTGAAGTCGTGATAAGGTGAAATTCTAACCCTTCCTTGTTGATTAACATAACCTGGATTAGTGTTAATCTCTGTGAAGCATTCAATTATTCCCAAATGCTTCAAAATAGTTTCGATGTAAAACATATTTGCATCACTCACGATCCTCAAATCACATCCTAAAGCATGTGCTGATTTAATAGCAGGTATTATTCTGTGATGAATTGGAATCCTATGAAGAACCTTTTCAATCTCTTCAATGGTGACACCATGTGAATGAAACTCCATCATCATTCTGTCCTATAATTCCAAAACAAAACAAAAAAGTTATTTATTTGTTATGCAAATTGCAACTGAAACAATGCAAAATTTAAAATGAAGCAAGAACATACCATGACAGAATTCCAAGGCATTGTGGGAAGCAGCTGATTGAACAAATCAGTGAAACCTAATTCATCTATCAACCAGTTATCACTATCACAATCAATGATGGTTTTGTCAAAATCGAAAACAATAACAACATTAGACATTGTTTTCTTGAGAGGTGGAGAATGGAATGGAAAAGATTTCAATGACCCAGAAAAAAACTGATTTCAAATTTTGTTTTTGGTTATGGTTACTCAGGGAAGAAGGGTATTAATAGTGAAAAAAGAAGAAGGAATGTTAGGTTTGAAAAAGGAATATTAGATAGCATATACTCGTAAAAAAGCGGTTGGAGAAGTTACCGGTGGCTATCTTTTTCAAAATAAATATCAGCCGTTGGATTTAGGTTTATATATAGAAAATCGGAGGGTGAGAGCTATAAGGGAAGTGAGAATGCGTTTGCAGCAGCTAATGAGAATATTCTTGGTATAGTTCCATTCTACTGTAGTACATGGTTTCAAAATTTAGTTTATTAATCAATTTTATTAAATTTAAAAATTACTTTTTATTTTTATTTTTATCTTTTTTCGTTGATTTCGAAATAATTATCAGTCCCGCCCCGCCCCTGTACCAACCCTGCCCCGCCCTTAAATTCAGTGGGAAAAAGTTTACCATTCACATAAACTATTTTTTTTAAACACATTTTTTAATAGAAATAAAAATTATTGATTTAAGAGTATTCACATTCATCATATTCATTTGGATTCTTTAAATGAGACTCACATAATTTTTTATATTATTTTACACTTCTCAATTTTTTAAACAACCCATCTACAATTCTCAAATATCCATGTAACTCATCAAAAAATTTAAAATGGGTCTCACATTTAAAACAAATCAACTACATTCTTACAATTTTATTTATTAATTTATTATCATGATCCACTTAATTGGAGTGTAAAAGCGTGTTTTAGTATGAGAACGTGTTTTAGTTCAGGAACGTGAAAACAAGTGAAATATTTATTTATTATTGACACAATTTCTTTAATAAATGTGTAGGAACTCTCAAAAAACACCGATAATCATGCTCTAATAGATTTTAATAAAACCTGTTTCTAACCAAACTCTTTTTTCTCATAGCAATAAAATTTGTTTCTAATCGAAATCTTTCTTTTTTTCTTTTCTTTTCATTTTAATAGGTTCTTAATAAATATGTATCTAAAGAGTAAAATAACTATAATAAATTTATTTTTAAAGAGCAATGACTCATACTAAAGTTATTTATATATATTTAAAAATGTGGTTTAGTTTTCTCTCTCTCTCTATATATATATATATATATATATATATATATATATATATATATATATATATATATACACTACGCCAAAAAAACCTACGAAAGCGCTTTTTTTGGTCTTTAAAAGCGCTTAAAAGTGCTTTCTAAGGTGGCGCTGCTATAGGTTTTAGCAGCGCTTTTTGTTTAATGAAAAGCGCTTTTGTAGGTCTACCTATGACATCGCTTTTTCTAAAAAGCGCTCTCTTAAGTAGGCTTTTGGCAACGCTTTTTTATGAAGAAGCGCTTTCATTGGTCTACCTAAGGTGACGCTTTTTTCTGGAAAAGAGCTTTCATAGGTTATCTTTTAGCAGCGCTTTTGCCTGGAAAAGCGCTGTCATATGTTTACCTTAGACATCGCTTTATGTGAAAAAGCACTTTCATAGGTCTACCTAAGGCAGCGTTTTTCTTCAAAAAGCGCTTTCATAGGGTGTTTTTTTTAGAGGTATAATTTATATAATTCATATACCTACATTGTTTGCAGTATATTATTTATATAAACCAGTTGCCATAACCTGTAATTCATAAACCACGGTAATGCATTGTATACCATTGTAATCCAAAATATATATACACCATTTTTGTACCTCAAAATATATATAAACCATTGTTATCAGCATTGTAACTCAAAATCAGTCTTACAAAATCAACCCTAACAACAACTAAACCAGTCCTTATATGATTCTCTGCTCAATAAAATATTGATACAATTCCTCTTTGATTTCTTCCAACTGAAGTTTCGTGTAATATGCACATTTGTACTCATCGAAGTACTACATAACAAAACATAATATGCATGATTTAGTTAAAAGTAAAAAATTATATGAAATATCCGAGAAATAATAAAACAAATCCTAAGTTATAAATCTATACCGTGACTGGAATCTCTATTTGATTAAGTTGAATGATTTCTTTGATAAACCGCATAACGAAGTATCCGCAATCTATACCGTTTTACTGTTGAGGACACTACATAGAAAAACAAATAAGAATATATAGTTGTATTGTTTTATCAAATATCATAAATATTATAAGCAAAATAGTGGAAATTAATATACCTGTACTTTGATCCAATTAATGTTGTTTGATTTAGACCGTCGTACCCGAGCTTCTCTTTGACACCGGAATACTTGTATCGCTCTAACAAAATAAAAATATATATTTAGAACTGATCTAACCTGATCAGACTTGGACCGTCACGGCTGGCTCCGAGCTGAAGTTCTGAACGAGGTGGGGGGGGTACCTGCAAGGCACTCCGATGCTGAAGTGAGTAAGAGCGCGAGCAGATAAGAGTATGAGTCTAGGTAAAAGAATGAATACCTGACCCTTTGGGAACATAGGGTATTTATAGCCCCCAGTGCTGGGCCAAGGTTCCTTCATTGGGCCGGGCAGGTTTGGCCCAATGGAGGAACTGCCAGGTTCTACGTGCGTAGTGGGGACCCGTACGTGGTCCCCTTCCTGGATGTTCTGCATGAAGTACGGACGGACGAGGACGCGGTCTTTTTGGGATCCAGGTGATGGCGTAGTTGATAGAGTCTGCCCTAGGAGGGGTGCTCGAGCTGAGGTCGAGCAGGATCGCATGGAGTCGAGGATGTCGTACTAGCAGAAAGTGTCGGGCAAAGGTATGGCCTTTTGGTCGGCGTGACCCTTTGTAAGACCGTTTGGATTGGGCCTTCAACATTGCTTTTGGGCCAGCCCGGCCCAGTCCAGAACAGGAGCCCCCCAAGTCGTGGTTCCTGTAGTAGGAGCCATGACTTGATCTTAGGTCGCCTGCGTCGCGGGGTCCCGTTCCCGGCTAGAATATGTCGTGCTTGTGACTTACTCGAGGAGTTTTTCTCGTGTCGGGCATATGATATAATGCCGCGCGATGTGCTCGGGGGTCTCAACGGGCTGCGTTCGTCGGGCACATGAGGTATCTCTTGGGAATCGTGTCGCCACCCTACTGCCGATAGGGTCATCATTGCCTAGAGGAGCTACATGTCGAGGAGGGAAGTTTTGTGGTTCCCCGAGGTGACGTTTGGTATTCCACGTCATCACTATAAATAGGTTGTTTGGGCCCCATAACGTGTTTTCCCTGTTCGTGCTTCTCCTCTGCACTCTATTCCTGCTATTGCTGTTCTTCCCAGATACTCATAGGACCGCCGTGATCTCCGTCGCTGATTTCCTTTCTCCGTCGTTACATTACCTTCCTGATTCCAAGTAAGTGCCTTGTCTCCTTTGTTTTTCCTTCGTGATGCATGATTTTCATTGTTTTCAGATGTTTTAGAGACTGTAAGCCTGGGATTAGCCCGGTAGATTTACGCTTAGCTCGACAAATCCATGTTTATGCCCGGCGAACGCATGTATGCGCCCGGTAAACGCATAGTTTAGGTATTTGACTCGCAGAGCTGCCCGGGGACTTCATGACTCAGGGCGCCTAATTCTTGGTGGTGCCCGGTAAACTCATGGCTCTAGTTTTGAGACCCATGACGTCGCTCGCCACGTTCGTAACCTGGGTCGACACGTTCGTGAGTGGTCGAGATGTTGGCTTATTCGGGCGCTCTGTAGCTTGTCGTGGTGACTGGGAGTGGGGGAGGTGACTGCTCTTTTTTGTTTCGAAACACCACTCTGTGGTCGCGCATGGAGCGACGTGGTTTGTCGTGCCCTTCATCTCGTTCGTTATGGCGAGCGTGTGGTTTCGCTCCCAATTGATTGGTTTCCCGTGCTTTGTAGGTAACCATGGAGGACGAACCGTGTTCTTCAGGGCGCCCCGGGGTGGAAGAACAAAATGCTGATGAAAATGTGAATTTGGTTGACACCATAGAGGACCCTCTGCTGGAATGGGTGGGTGCCGAGCCCAGAGGGATAGCTTCGGCCTATAGTCGACGTAGTCGAAGGGCGTACACCATCCTCGAGGCGGGCAGTAGCCAGTCCGATTTCCAAAAGAACTTCGTCGTCACTCGACCAACTTTCACCGCACGAATCTGCTCGGAGTTCCCCGAGTATGGATTCCCTATGTACGAAATTGCCTTCAAGGACCTTGGGTTGCAGCTGCCCTTCAGAGATTTTCAGGTCGGGGTCTTCGGCCATCTGGGGCTGGCCCCGTCGCAGCTTCACCCAAATTCGTTCGCTTTCATCCGGGCGTTCGAGCTAACTTGTCGGTTTCTAAGGATTGGGGCGACCATACCCCTCTTCTTCAGAGTCTTCCACCTACAGCGCCAATCCTGGGGAGGTAAGCATAGCTGGGTTTCCCTGAAACAGTCGAAGAGACTTTTCAGGATGTACATGGATTCTGTGCGGGGCTTCAAAGACAAGTGGTATATTGTGAGGCCGATTACCACGGCAGGTTTAGAGTCTGTGTACGAGGAGGAAACAGTCATAACCGACGACCACGGGGAAGCTCTTTTGGACGACGAGGGACATCCGGTGTTGGGGCGCGTGGCCAAATTTCCCTTGCATTGGACCTCGAGGCATTACGAGCATGGGACCGGGTACTACCATACGTCCGCGGGCGAGATGAGCTCCGAAGACGAGAAGGCTTATGGTACTCTATGTCGGTATGTCGACAGTTTTTTCCCCGCTAGATGGGCCACGTGGGAGGGGGAGGATATTCTGGACGAGGAAGGTTACCCGACCTTCGAGGCCCGGCCGATTGACACGAAGGCACTCGTGGAGTGCCAGTCCTTCGGGCAGGCTGCGAATTTGCTAGGTCGTTATTGTCTTGTTTGAATTTCTTTACTTGTTATTTGTTCGCTTGTTTGCTCGTCACTAACCCGGGGTTCTTTCATGCAGGTTCGATGGCCGGACGAAGGGATAGGCTCTTGAAGTTGTCCTGTGACAGGAAGGTGAATA